CAACAAACTGCCAGATCATCCAATAATCCAGGGGTGATGGATATTAGCTCATTAACTGTCCACTCAGTTTGTGGACTCAGGTACTTGGTGATCCTGCAGCCCAGGTAATTACCCCATAGTTCAGAGTCAGAACACACACCTGGCTGTTTTGCAGAGACATGTGGACATGAGTGCGTATGTTTACACATTAAAAAGTTCTCTATCTTTCTAGTTACTACATACTCTATCTTAAAATAAAAGTCTACACCTTATACTACAGGGTTTTAAGCCACAATAGTGAATATGTATAAAATATATTCACATATAATTCATATATATATATATATATTCCTGCTTTCACAGGAATTGAGCATTTAAAGAGGTAATGAAATGAGCACAGAGAAATTAACTTCCTAGATAAAAAGCCATATAAAGCTCTCCTTTATGTGTCCTTCCCTCAGTTATGATCTCTGATATTTCTATGACAGAGGTCACAAATGAATTGTGTATCATGATCCCTGATCAACTCAATTGGTATTCAGATACACAAAGAAAATATGCTTTATCTAGCATTTGAGTTTTTCCTATAACAGACCTATATAAGTCCCCATAGCACTGGTGAATGAAACAGATACTTTGTCTATTGATGACATCTCAATTTCTTCTAGTTGAATCACAGGCACCTCAAAGTAACTCTGAGTTGTTTGGAAGTTTCTACTTTCCCCTGCTCCTTCCAAGATGGTAACTGGAGGTTAAGGCTGCTGAAAACACTTTATGATAGAAGGAGGAAAGGAGAGCTCTGAAACAACATGGTTCCTACTAGTCTCCACTGGGGTAGATGTCTGGTCTGGTGGCTCAATCGGTGGCCTCTAGTCTCCAATCGCCACTGAGAGCAATGTAGTGTCTTCTTAATCTAGGGCCCTTTCAGCAACTCCTTGCCCCCTCTCAAGGCACTTCTGGGCCCATTACGCACCACTAGCAAGCCATGGAGTACAAGAAGGGATGCTATAGTTCTCTCTATCCAGTTACTTTCCTGCCTTGCTCTAAGTGGTCCCTCAAGTCACATGGATGATGGCTTTGTGTGGGACTCCTTCAAGAGTTTTCTCCAAGCTGAGGCAGGGAAGAATGCTGTTGACGACCTGCTGGCTGAAAATGTTCTCAGGTTCATTGCATACATACCTGAAAACTTCCACCAAGTCTTTTCCTCATCTTGGACTTCACCCCAGGAAGGAGGAAATAAGTACATAGAAGTCTGAACTTTCTGTCCTACTTCTGCCTCCTTCCCACAGTCCACCTGGGGACATATAGGTAGTTTATTTTCCATTTGGGTCTGCAGGGAATGTGTGTGCAATATTCTTCTTCTATTCTCTTTTTACCTGAGGTGGAACTTGCCCTTCTCTATTTCCTGTAACAGAAAGATAAATAGGGCATGAGGAGTGTGAACTGGCTTTCACAGAGAAGTAGACAAGATGTTTGGAGTTCCTAAAGGATAGAGCAATTACATTAGCATATGTAGACCCTTGTGACTGGTAGCTCTGTACAGAAAGCGAGTTCAATAAAGGTGGCTTTCTGGCTGAGAGGGGAAGGGGAGGGGGAGTCTTGACTACAGAGGAGTGACATCTAGTTTCTTGAAAATTTCTTTCTTTTCTGAAATGCTGGGCTCTTAATTGTTCCTGTATTCCTTTAGTTTAAAATAACACATATATCTCCTTTGCTCACTGATCCTCATAGTCCCAGAGGGTGGTCCTAAGAAAAACAGCACTATTAATTCATCTTTCACTGCCACATGAGCAGGGTGGTATAATGAAGATATCTCCATGAAAAAACCCTCTATTTTTTTTAAATTCAGAAAAGTCAAGAAAATAATGTTAATTTAAATTTAAGATGTCTACTTTTCCACATAGGTTCAAATAGTGTGTATATAAGTGCCCTTTCAGTTAAAATTGAAAACTATTTCATTACTCTTCCCCAAATAGTATCTTCCTTTTCTCACTACTAATAATCTCATACCTATCATTCTTGTCTATATTTTTATTAGTTTAATATAGCTTTATATATCAAACAATATATACCAAACAAAATATAGCATTGCTTTGTATGTTTAAACATTTTCCCTAAATGATATCATACTGCATCAATTGTTTGGCAATCCTTTTTTCAGTCAATAATATGCTTTTTAGATTTTCTTTGCACATAAATTCACTTCATTCATTTTAAACTGCTTTCACTTATTATATTCAATTTGTGAACACATCACATCTCTTAATTCTCCACTGAAAAAAACTGATACTTTCCCTAATATTTTCTCCTATTATTCTTTTTAATGATAGGAACCATTGGCTCAGTCTCATACTTTAATTTCAGGCCAAGGCCAAAATTGGCTTGAAGTCTTTGTTACTTGTAGAGCAGTGTAATCTCCCAGCTGACACTGAACCAGTGCTAAGCAACAGACATCTGAGCCCCACATGTGCCCTACACAGTTACAGACTGCTTGTCCCTGGGCCTCTCTCTGACTCAATTCTCTTATCTGGAAAGTGGAATCATAATTGACTCATTCTCCTTAGGCTGTTATGAATGCTTGTGGATTCATGTTATGGAGCGCATACCCAGTATCCAGCAGAGAGTAAGCCTTCTGTTAGTGGGAGATACATATAGTAGTTAATGCCTAGTAGAGTACTGAAAGCCAGGATACTGCTCCCTGATCCATTTTCTTTTGGGCACTCTCTCTACTATGTTATCTGTGATGGTAAGACCTTGTGTATAAGAATTTATGATCTGTGAAGACATAAGTCCAATGTGCACTCCTGGGGCCAGAGGCTACAGGCAGAGGCATTAGGCTTGAGTGTTAAGTGGTGAACTAACAACCTTGAATGCTGTCAGGATGCAAGTGCCAGCAACTTCTGTCTTCAGAGTGAGTTTTTGCAGGGCCTGTGTGGACCTGCCTTGGCCTAGTGCCTGTAGGAGCACAGCACCAAGCCCTTGTGATAGGACTATTCTGTGCACAGGTCTGACCAATGAGAGCTCTGTTGCTATGCCGATCATGCAGGCAGAGCCTTTCTGACTCTAATCACAGCCAGCATACTGTTCACAGAAGTCTTTGCTGTTTTTGCTTGGATTGATTTTTTTTAAAGCAACTGATGCATACTTTTCTTCTTGTTATTCTCTTCCTTTTATTCCTCCCTTCAGTCCCCACCCAATGCTTTCCTACCTGGACACACACACACAGACACACACACACACACAGGAGTCAGACTCGGAATTATTAACAATGACACTTTGGCCTAAGGCAGAAAAGCAATCTTTTAATAAGATCCTTATTCTATGCTAAGCAATGCTGAAAAACTCTGCTCTGTAAAATATTTGGGGAGATTGATTAAATAGAGGTACCATCACCACATATTTAACTTCCCGTTCTGCCTTCTCTTCTTCCAGTACAAAAAGCAACGGGAAAGAAATAATAAGGTTGCAGTATATCTGCTTTCTGCCCACTTTTCCCACATCTCCCAAAGGGCCTAGCCCAAAGCCAGTGTGACTATTCACAAACCATCAGATTAATGGGGCCTCTCTGCCTTTCTCCTCTTTGGCAGAACATCTGGGTTCTGTCTGCTCATCTCTCCTCCTGCACTCTTTGATGAGGGACAGGACAAAAGCAAGGCAAGCACATTCCTGAGAGAGGGGGCTGTGCGCAGCAGAGGCTCATGACAACTCCAGAGCACACTAGGAGGGGAGACAGTGAGAGTGACAAAGCCTCCAAGATGGTTGGATAAGGTGGTCTGGAGGAAAGGGAAAGTTTTACTGGGGTCGGAAAGTATGAGGGGTTGGGGAGTCTGGGTGCAAAAGAACAGAAGGTCAGGATTTTAATAAATGACCTTGACCTGTCTTACTGGAGCTCCTGCACTGTTAAGAGACAGATATGAGCACAGGTTGGTGCAGCAGTGTAGCCATGGTGTTTCAAATTCAGTTTTGCTGTGGTACCACATGTCCCACAGCTTTGTAAGCAATATGCTTGCCTATACTCCAATGTTTAAGCAGTTTTATAAAAACGTACAAAAGAAGATAGATTTCATTTAAGTAAGAATCACAGTGGTATAGAGTTGTGGAAGGAAGATTGATTTTCTAGAAATATGACTAAAACTAGTTATTAAACTGTTATTGCTAAAAGAAAGGGTGAAATAAACAGAAAACCACAGTACTTTGCTTCACATGGGTCTTGTCTAGAGATCTGATCCTCCTACATTCTTCCTTAACTTCTCCATCTCTTCCTCCATACTAGACAGTTTTTATAGTAGAGGGGTGATTTGTAGGGCCAGGACAAGGCAAAAGCTTTGAAGCAAGGGTACGAAGAATAATTAAAACACCTGGCGAGTTCTGGTTTTATTTTTGAAGAACATAACTTAAAAGCACATGTGAAACACAAGCTGTAGTTTTAAAACTCAGAGTCTAAAATAAATAAGAGTTGAAAGGATAGTAGTTCCTATACTTAAGGTTTTAAACAAAAATAATTCATTTAGGAATTAATAGTTCATGTGATAAAGAAAGATTTTTCTGATATGAAGAATTCTATAAGTTCATAACCATATTTTTCTTTATTTAAATTCAAGCAAACTTAATACTTTAGATTTTTTTTAGAGTATAAAGTAATAAGATTCTGTTTTTGTGAAATTATACATAGCTATATACATTTGAGAGATAATAGAAAATGATACATGTCTCAGTCATGGAATATTGAAGTGATTTTTCTACATTTTTTGTACTTTTCAGTTTTGTCTAATCTTTATTTTTATGCATAATTTTTAAAACAAAGACTACATATTGCTTTCTATTGACATAACTAAAATTTCTTTAAAAGGAAAAGAAATTAAGCAGTATTTTGAGAAATAATTGAATACCAACAATTTTTCCTTGTGGATCTCAGGAGGTTTCCTGTGTGATTGTGTGAGTGTGTATGTGCGCGCGCAAGTGTGTGTGTGTGTGTGTGTGTTGTGGTGACAGTATCAGTGTCTCAGTGCTTCTGTTCTTAGGAGACACTTGGTGATATTGAAGTTCAAGAGAAAGAACATCAAGGGAGGCAGAAGTAGTGAACAAGAGGAAGACTGAGGACCCCCAAACTTGGACATGACTCAGTAGAAACACACTGTAAAATTTTCAGAAAGTTCAAGATTCCTCTTGCTTCTGATTAAAAGGGTCACAGCCCTCCCTAGTCCAGGTGAGTGCTCTATCTTTGGCTGACCAAGCTTGAGAGGGAGGTGGTGAGGGTGGGGAGGGAGAATGTGCCAGTCTGACCACGTCCCCATGCCTGCCCAGGAAGCAGGTGGGTAGATTGTCTGTCAAGTACCAGCAAGGAACAAGATCCTTTCTGTATCTGGATTGAAGGGGTTGAGGGGACCAGAGGCCTGGAGGAACGTCTCAATAGCCAGCATTTCTCAGAAACACAGAGGAAGTCTCTCAGACAAAGCAGACAGGTTGGCATCCCTTTCTTAAGAGTCAGAGAAAGGAAAGAGATAGGCAGGCCTTGCCAACATACCAAGGACAGTGGTGAAATTTGGAAATCTGGGGGTCTGCCAGGTTTGTTTTCACAGCAGCCTGGGCAACAGTTCTCAATACCTGCACCTAGAGAACTCACTTGAACTCCAGTGCTAGTCCACAATGGGTCATCCCTGGGATGTAGCACCCGTTACCCCTAAATTCACTTCTTGGTGCCAGCTCCTAATTGTGGGGATCTTTGATGATCTGGGCCCTCTGACTGAGTCCTGGGACCCCAAGGGGGCGCTAGTCTTGTACTTGTCATCCTATGTTACCTTCTTTCTGCTTTGCTTCTTCCTTCTGCCTTGCCAGACCATTGCCCACCTATGAATGAACATTCTCATCTACTGTAAGCAGAGCACAAAACAGAAATCCAAGTGTCATAGTCTCTAGGTCAGTACCTGCCCCCCAGACCTGTAACTCCCCATAACCTGTAAAGAAAACACTCAAACATAAGTCAACAAAGAACCGAAGAGAAATCTCAAAGCCTTGGGGTGGAGGCATAGCAGGAAGTTGTAACCACACAAACTATGCTCCAAGCTAAAGAGTCTGACCCTTAGGCTGAGTAACTATGATACAATATCAGGGGGCTAAAGTGCTGAAATTCACTGTCTTGGCCTCTAGAAGATCAGTTTTAACTGTAATATAATTTTACAGATCGGAAATTCTGGAGGAGAGTGACCTTGATCTGTTATACAGTTAAGGTGAAAGAGAAACTATACGGGACTAGTCTCAATTATTTGGCATCCCATAACCTTTTACTATGTGGTCTGAGGTGGATTGGCTGAGTTGAGTGTCTGGGAAGTTTCTATGATGGGAAGCCAGCCCAGCCAAACTCATTGTCTTCACCTATGTCAGTTATACTATCCTTTCCTATCTTATTTCCTGAATTTGAGGTGGATATTTGGTTGAAATTGTACCTAAGACAAAAATACAAGTCCATATTATGCTTCTTAATATTATGGTTTAGATCTAAAATCCCCCCTAGAAGTCTCATGTGTTTGGAAGTTGATTGGATTGTGGGTTAGGGTTAGCACTGTACTCATCCATGGATTGATTCATCCATTGATAAATTCATTAGCTGAATACATTAAAGATACATTTGGTTGAAATTGTTCTGAAATAGAGAATATATGTCAATATTATGCTTGTATCTGTCATGCTTTCTCCTATGTGTAAATTCTTGAGGACTACCTTTCCATTTCTTTAGTGATTTATTAGATACGCTAGTTGATTAATTTTATTCCATCTCAAAATTAATTTCCTACCAAGATAGAAGAGAAGGCTAACAGACATCAGTTTACAAAAACAAAAAGAGTATGTAGGGATGATATGGTGGCATCTTCAGGCTGATGGGATCTGCCTCAGGATGTGGCAACTTCCACACACAGCCCGGACAGAGACCAAGCACTCATGTCCTGCTAAAGCAAAGATATTACCCAGTCTTTTGGTCACGAAAGATCCAGTGTGGGAATTCTCTCTTCATTCCCTGTGAACTTAGTTAGGGCAGGAATCTCCAAAGGCTGAAGTGAGTGTCCTTGCTGGTACTCCCAGATCTTGCTCTCTGATATTATATAAACTAGTTAGCTCATGTATTCTGAGTCCCTGACCAAGCATTCCAACTTTGGTTATGACACTTCACCCAATTCAAATTTATTTGATGCACAGTTTATGTACTAAGAGAAGTAAAAAAGAAATTGTGTTGTGCACTTTGGGTCAAATAACTGCAGAAGTTAAGTGGATGAATTACAATGTCCTAAACTGGATGAACAGCCAATCTGTACAACTCAATCAGGAGCGTTTTTACTGAGGACTATTGTTTATAATGTCCATATCAGTACTACTCAAACTCTGACTGTTCCTCTCTTGTTTTGGGCTTACCCCACATAACCAATATGGGGTAAACTTTAGAGGTTATACTACAGATCAGACCCCAAATAAGTGAGAGGAGGAAGCAGAAGAAGCATCTTACTTTTCTAATTTCTCTCCCTTTGTGCCTATTTCCCTACAACCATGTGTCCACAGAAACTATGGTTATCTCTCTTTCTTTTGTAAGACCAACATGATACTATTTTGGCCAAGTATTCCAGAGGAAAGAAGACTTTGAAAAGACATTTCCTTTGTCTTGCAAGATGGCTTCAGGATATACTTCTTCCCCAAACCAAGTGTTAGAGTCCTGTCAACTGTTTCAGGGAGGACAAGAAGTAACACGAAGTATCTAATCCTCCTTCTTCCCTAAGACTCCACTGCATCTGAGCTTGGTGTGAGCATGGCCTGCCAAGGCAGACAGGATTGTTGAGCTACAATCAAGACGATGGATCCCTGGCACAGCAGAGCCTTTTAAGGATAAGGATTGGATTTAGGGTAAAACCTACCAGCCCTTGGCAGTTCACAAGTCTGAGATTCCAGACTGGACACTTTTATTTTCCATACCTCCTAAGAAGCTGGCTAGACAAGACATGTAATAAGTACCATTCAACCCATTTGGGAGTCCACAGTGGAAAATTATCGGGGTGATATTTTGGGACAGCCTTGACTTCTTGAGATTGGTGCATACTTGTGCATTGTTTTTGCATTCTTTGCACAACTTTGCATTTTTAAAAAATGAACAGGTATTATTAAGAATGCCAGTCATTCTTGAAATACTTTGGAGAAGTCAGAACTTGGGAAAGCCAATGCAAGGGAAGGTAAGGCCAACCAGGGACAATAGTGTTCCAAGAGAAGAAGAGAGAGCTAGATGTTTGGTCCTAAGCCCTGTTATTTTGGCCAAATGAAAATGGATTGTTAAAAAATCTTAAAACACATTCAGGTTCCACTGCCTGCCTTGCAAGTGCAAGGTCCTAAGTTTGATCCCCAGTGCCAAAAAAACCCCCCGAAACATATTCAGTTACTTAGAAAATATCACACAACCAGTGCCAAATTCATCTAGGTATTCTCTAGCACTTTCATCCAATGTGGTGCACTTACCGTTCCTCAAAATTGCCAAATTGTTTTTCATTCTCCTACATCTATTTAAACTTGGGATAGAATGTTAAAATAGTCTGAAGTCTTGTGACACCATCTTGCACCAGTCCTTGTGCAGGTGGAAGAGGTCATAGGATACAAGTGGCTGATGCAGCTTCCTCAGTTTCTGGATTTTTTGTTTCCACTCAGAAGCTTAGCGGTGCCTAACATCTGTGGTTTTCAAAAGGCATACTCCAACAAAAATCTCATAAATAACAAAGCCTCCAATGACTTCCCAGTCCTAACCTGATTGAGGGAGTTTGCTTAGTTGCTTTCTACATCTGCAATCTTACTGGCCACTTACTTACCACTCCTGCATGTTGTTACCCTACAGTAAAAATGAAGGTCTTCTCTGCACTGTGTTTTTGCTTCTGACATAACTGTTAGCCTAAAACATTTTGCATTACCAACTACATACTTCACAGAACTAGAGAAAACAATCCAAAAAGTCATTTGGAACAAGAAGAGACCTAGAATAGAAAAGGCAATTCTAGGCAACAGAGACATGGCTGTGGGTATCACAATCCCTAACTTGAAACTATACTACAAAGCTACTGTGATAAAAACAGCATGGTACTGGCCAAGAAACAGACCCGAGGCTCAGTGGAATAGATTAGAAGATGTAGAAACAACTCCAGACATACTCAACCACCTCATCTTTGACAAAGGAGCCAACCACCCTCATTGGAGGAAAACCTCTTTAATAAATGGGTTGGAAAAACTGGATTTCAATCTGCCAAAGATTAAAATTAGACTTATATCTATCACCATGCACTAAACTAAAATTGAAGTGGATTAAAGATCTAAATATTAAAACAGAAACACTAAACTTGCTGGAAGATAAGTTAGGTAGAAGTCTTTTTTTTCCCCCATTAAGTTTATTGGTACATTTTAGGTATAAAATACAGTTACATTCATCTTTGGGATCTTGTACCTTTACATGAGTATCTTGGTTCTTATTTTTTTCCCCTTCCCTTGCACTCCCTTCACTCCCTCCACCCTTCCCTATTTGCAAAGATTTTGTTCTCATTTTTTTCCTTTTGTCATATATTTTCTTTTCCCTTTTTCCTTTCCCCTACCCCGCCCACTTCCCCTGCTCCTTTAGACCTTTTCTTCCTATTACACAATATCAATTATACATTTTAAAATTACAATATCAAGATCTAGGAGACATTACCACAGATTGTACAGAATTTAAAAGGATATAGAAAACATATTACAGAAAT